GTTAGATAAATGACTGGCATGACTCTATTGTTAACACGAAAGTATGATGTAAAGGGACAAGCCACTACTAATTTGAGGTGGAGGTAATATATTTTAAATTAAGTAAATTAAAAATTGCAGTTTGGCATTGTGGTGATGTTACAATAAATAATTGCTTGTATTTTTATGAGTTTTCTGTCTGTTTTGTATTGTGATGTACTGTACATATAGACTGTAAGTGTAACTCACAACTTAACCTTAAGCAAGCAACCAAAATCTAAAGGTACTGTATGTATATTCAGAAAGTCAAATGTTTAACAAGTCTATTATAAAGTACTAGTAAAGTTACAGTGATATTTACTAAAGAACAATGCTAATTATAGTATTTTGTATAATATAAAATATCGTTCTAACAGGCAATGCAGCTCTTGCATATTTCTGATAGCTGATATATAGTAATGTTAAATTTCCATCTTGATTTTGCTATAATTTGCTCATTTTATAATTATACATCATCTCTGCCATCCTTCTAACAATCTAAATTTTTAAAAATATGTGAAATTCGAAGTTCATATAATTTCAAAAAAAGAAGTTAATCCTTTAAATTTATAATAAATTCCTTTAACTAAAGGAATTTGGACCTACAAAAACAAAATATAAAGTACATGAGAAATTTATAACTCTTTCTTTTTAACTATAAACATTCTCACGATCAAACCGTGTATAGTTTACAATTACCGGCAAAATTCGTCATAATGTTGTCATTCTAACACCACTTTTAACCCCACACCTGCTAAAACAATTGATCACCTGACGAATTTTCCCACCACAAAACGTATAAAAGCCCCCCTCCTTTCCCTCTTGGGGGAGTCGCCAATCGAACGATCAAGACGGACATTAACTTCCCTTAGACCTACTATATGACATTAATTAATTAATTGGCCCCACCTCGCACTACCTTTCAGAAATTAAAAGCCGGAGTATCCATCCAATATTATCCCAGAGGTATGAAATATTGTTATAAACTCTCTCTCTCATCCGCGAAGTCTAAGGAGTTTTGTAAATTTTTAATTAGTTAACGCGTTAAATAAACTGTTGTTTTGTTTTAAATGGTGTCTTTACTCGACTTTGCCAACGTCTTATCGTCGACCCCTTCGACTCTCCTCCACTCGCGTAACGCGTAATTGAACGAAACGCCATCCTTGACAAGAAAGTAGGTCACCGACCTGTGGCCGGAAGGAGAGGACTTCCCAACCTCCCCCGGCGGCTCACAAAAAATATTTGACAATTATTATATATTAGAATCTCCACATTTCATAGTCATAAAACAAAAAAGACAATCTCATTTAAAGTAAATTGAACAAAAATATTTCTAGCACAACACCTAAAACTAATATAATTTTTAACAAATTAGGAAAAATTTAATAGCTTTATTGATTTAATTAGTAAGAGATAGGCTAATATGTTCATAGAGGACGTTCCAAATATGGCAGAAGCAGAGTTCTAACCAGATGGAGGGATATAGCTTTGAAGCATTGTATTTCTTCATCCACTTTGATCCTGCTTCTGCCATCTTATGGTCTTCCTCCTTGAATATATTAAGTTATCTTCTTCATGGACATATTCTGGAACTGGCAAAATAGCAATATAATTAGTAGGTGAAATAGAATGATGTATAAACTTATTAATTTTCTGTGAACTTTATTACTTTATTAAAAGTTATATATATTAAATGTATCTTATTGACTGTACCTCATTGATGGAAATGGTAGAGCATAAACAAAATTTTGCTATAGTGGCCCTGCTATTATATATTGCTTGTAGCATTTCTATCATGATGTTATTTTATTGAAGGTGTTTATTTTACTACATTGTTTACTAATAGACCTGAAGTACAGTTGTATAAAATAATTTACTGTAACTAATAATAACTTATGTAGTTTAAAATCCTATCATAAAGTCAGCTGAAGGATTTATGTATTTTAAAATTTATATATTATATAAAATTGTGATTACTGTAATACATTGTTATTAAACTGCAAATATAAAATTATCAAAATATAAAATATAAAAATTAATTGAATAATTAATTAATTAATTAAAATTAAAAATTAATAAATCTATGATAATCTCTAATAATACAAAATTTTAATCAAAAAAAGTAAATTAATAATCGATGATAATCTCTATTAATACAGAATTGTAATTACAACAAGAGTAAATTAATAAGAGAATCATTCATCGAAATTATATTTCTTACCATTAATATTCTCATTCATAACGACGAGTAATTTTTATTATACATTTGAAAAAATGACGAATAATCTGAACGTGATGAATAAAAGATATAAAAACAGCCAAAAATCTCGTGAGAAAACAGGAATAAAATGCAATTATATCTCTGGTTTCCAATTATTATTGTGCTTAAATCAAGCGCATTTAATTATTATCGGATAATAATAAAATTCTATAACATTATTTCTGTGCATTGTTGTTTTCATTTTCGGCAAAATTTCTACAAATTACTATTTGAATTAAATTAATTAAAATCATTAATAGTGAGTATAACCGTTATTTTGTGAAACACTTTTAATTTGGCAATGTCTTTTTAAAAATTTCTAACATGACACTTTCAATTTTAATCTGGTATCGTACCTAAAGTACATATTATATAGATTTTACCATAATATATTAATATACGATTATCATTTATATTACAATAAATAATTTCTATTTAATTTCTTTACTAATTATTTATTTTTACGCAACAAAATGTTTTAAAGGAGAAAAGAATATCAATGCACGACATGCGGTAAGAATTTTTTTTATTAATCAGATTTGCAAAAACACATGCGAATTCACATGGGTGAAAAGCCGTTTGAATGCGAATTTTGCAAAAAAGTTTTTCGGATAAGAGCAATTTGATACGCATCTGGAAGTGCATTAGGATGAGAAGCCATTCACGTGCAATTACAAAAGATTTAAATGTTAATATCAATTGGAACAACATATGTACAACACTCGATCAAAAAGTTCTACTTATAAAGATGGACTTACATATTATGACAGCATTATTGTAAAGAATGACCGACTCATTATACCTAAGTGATATTTGCAAATGTTTTGCAAAAATTATTGGATAATCTTTGCAAAACATTTTTCTTATAATTGCTATATTAATTGCTTCAAAAAAAATATATATTTATACTAGCAGGTGGGCCCGGCGTTGCTCGGGCAAAAGTAACGATAACTAAGATAAAGATTATTACGTTACAGTCAACCTTACCCGTTTTCACAGAATGCAAGAATTGGGTCCCCTTAGAGAATTTTTAGATGGGTCTAAAAATATGTTCGATTTCCCGCAAAAACGAAAAAACTGCATCTGCGTATCGCACGTCGCTTTCTCTTAACAATTCCATTGTTACGTAA